TCTTCTCCCAGAATACAGTGTTGTTATTTCCATTTCTCAACAATGGTTCACTTCTAGCACAAAAGTTGTATTTCCAGTGACAACAATACACTTGAACATGTGTACAGCAACTCCATTAAGCAGCATTGTGTAAATAGCAGGTGTCTTACCAACTGTAACTAGAACGTGCACACAGTAGCTTTGCTGGGGGAGTGATGCCTAGGTATATCTCCAGGTGAGATGTGGTTACCCCTGCTGACAGGGGCAGGACTAACACTGTCCCGTTCTGCTTTCTGTAACAATGCTGTCACTTTGGTTATACTGGCTGCTGTGAAACTCTGATTCAGTGCACTTCCATGACACGCGCCATTATCAGAAACGTTTATTAGCTAGCAACGTATGCAGGAGTTTAACCCTGAAGTCTTTACAAGCTGTTTAGGTCTACAGGTTGCAAGAATTAGACTTCTCTGTTCCTTGAGGCTTTAAAATTTCATCATGTATGTGTTTGGGTCTGTACAGATAATGATGGCCAGAAAAAAAAAGGAAGGGAAAGATACGCTTTGTACTGGAATTTTATCTATTGCATTTTGTGGCAAAAATGGTGCTTTGGTGAACATACTGTACCAATGATGAACTTTCATTTCATTAAATGAAATGCACCATATGGTGCAAAATGCTGCTGTTCTGCTTGTTTGTTATGCATGCGCTTCTTACATCCTCTTCTTTCTGATACTGTATGATGGTGGGAAGGATATTAAGTTAGTTAATATAAAATTTCTGATTTATAACACCAGATCTGTGTTTGGTGGATAAATGCTTGCAACCATAAATGATTAAACTTATATATTTTCTTAGGAGTGAATTGATTATGTGTTAATATTTACATCTGTAACTGCATTTGCAAGCACAAACATAAAGGCTGGTCTGGAGGTTGGCTGAAAATCTGGTCTTGCATATTCTATGAAAAATATTATTCAAATTTCTCACAGGTGAATAAACCTCATGCATGGATGAATCTAGTTAATTCAATGGTTTAATAAACCTAGAATCCCAATGAGGCTATAACAAATCCCCCTCGTATCTTGGAGTTATTAGAGAGATGTTTAAAATTATATGCAAGCATAAGAGCTCTTTCTAAATTTGAGGAGTCTTTTCCATATTAATTTTTTGTTCTGTTCAGTACATGAAATAAGTTATCTGTGGCTCTGTCATGATAAAGTATCAGATCAATTACCATTTGAGGGCAATATCTGAGGTCAATTTGTGTCTGACTAGATATTTTTTTTCCTTTGGGTAGTTTGTTTTTGAGACAGTTATGCAGCACTAAGACTGATGCCTCTCTATTAATGTTCCTTTGAGAAAGATGGATAGTTTGAAGTGGAAATTTCTGTAGCCCCCTTGTCAGGGAGCAGCACCTTGTCATAAGCGGCTCCATTTTCAGATATTAAACATATGTGGATCCTGGATCAGAACCAATTCTCTAGTTAGAAACACAGGAATTGGAAGCTGACAAGGACTGACTGAATTAGCAAAACAGCTGGAACTACTAGGACTGCATAAATTTAATTATGAGTGCTAGGTTTAAGGTCATTGTGCTCGAAGCTATGATCTGGATAACTAAGCAATGTGACGCCTGGTCAGATCTTGGATGTTAAACCTTCCAGGAAAGAAATATCATACAGGAAATAATAATTCTGCAGTAGATTCCTTTTGCCATGTTTTGATACAAACCAAAATCCTAGGTTAGTGGTCATGGTGCTTTTGTAAGTTTTTCAGTTAACAATCACATGTTATCTATTTTACAGACATTCACAGGGACAAGATACCCTCTCCAAGAACACTAAAATACATTGGAGGAGGTATATACTTTCAGGTGAAAAATAAAGTAGATATTGCAACTATCTGTTATCATGGAAAGATCCTACCATATCTTCAGGAAAAGGAATCTGTTCTTCACAGCTTCTGAAATGGGGAACAGGTTCTGCCTTCATCTTCCACTGAATTAAAAAAAAAAGCAGGTAAAGCAATGTTGAGTGATGTAAACCCCCTCCTCTCTCTAAGATACACATGTAATTTTACAAATATACTTGGAATACAGAAGCAGTAACTTACATTCAAAATTTTCAGTTAGTGATGTGGAGTTCAGAGGAAAAAATAATGAAGCTGAAGAAAAGGATGATTGATAAGAAAACTTTCCACTGAATGTACTCCACTATAAAATGGTAACTTTATTAATAGGCAAGGGAGAATTAAAATGCACGAAATGGTAGCTAAATATGTGGAAAGTCGTATACTCTGCCCTGGTTTAAAAGATCATAAGTATATGAAATTGGAATGCTGTTGAATTGATTGAGATCTGATATTCATTATATTTCAACACTGCTGGCAGAATCCCTTCTAACCAGACGTGCGTAACATGCTTTCCTAGCGCTTTCACAAAGCTCTGAGTTTATAATCACAATTAAAGTGCATCTTTTCTCAATAATTGCACAATCTGAATTTGGACTGAGGTAATAAGCTTTAAAAAAACTTAAATTCCATATTTTAATATTAGAAATCCACTTAATTATAGGTAATCTCTGGCTCTGCATGTCACCTGTATTAACATTTATATTTCTCATTGAGTCTGCAATATAATTTTCTGGTTTTGTCATGACCATCCTTCTAATATATACCAACAACCTCATGTGGGACACGGCTGGCAACCCAGCCAAGCTCCTAATTTATCTTTGCCTTATCTTATTTAGTCCACCGTAAGAGAGTGGCAGTATGAATAGCAAACATTCTGTGTGAAGGGCCAAGATGACAGCCAGGACAAGCACCAGCCTGTTGTCTTCAGCATCTTAATCCTCGGCCTCTTAGGAATGAAGACCTGATGTGCATACCTGTTTCCGGAAGCTGGGTACTATCCTGCGAAACTTGCTTCCTCAGCAAAAAGAGCTTATCCAAGAAAGCAGTGCCCTAAATTCTCTTCACCATTTGGAAGAGGCAGCCAGGTAGAATTTATTTCTCTCAGGAATTTTCTTCTGCTCATTAATTGTTTTCCATACGGGGCTATTATGTTGGTAAAATATTTATATCCATTATGATGAAAATTGCCAGGAAATGAATTCACACAATCTTGCTACCTTTTGATTTATTCTTTTTTTTTTTTTTTTTTTTTTTCTCAGGGCTTTGAAACACTGCTGTGGTTTTGGCTTGCCTCTCTATTCTTGCTATCCTTTTCTGTCACACTCAGTAATTGGCCTAATAAAAGGCAGAAACAAGAATTTATTACACCTTGGGCAATACTTGAAACAAACTTTATTTGCTGGAGCAGCACTTTTTATCTACTTGCTGCTGTATATTTTGACATTCTTCTAAATATTAAATTTGACTTTATTAAAAGTTAAATCTTGGCTTTTTTTTTTTTTTTTTGTAATTGCTGCTGGTTTTGCAGTTTCTAAGGCAGACTAGTACATATATAAACATATCATTTTAATGAAGCTTTTGGAGAAACAATATAAGCTGTGGCTATATCTACTTCATTACTGCCAGAACCCACAAAAATGGAATGAATTAAAGACTAGCTTCTGTAATACATTGTAAATTACACTTGGAATAATTTCTGTGATGAATTGAGAGAACAAAGATGAGAACTATTCAACTTTTCATACCTTTTCCAAGCTTGGGACTTGACAAAATCTTCCTCAAACAAATGACTTCCTTTACATTTAAAATTATTTGCAAAAATAATGATGGTAGAAAAAATGAAACCAGGTTAGAGTGTTATGATACAATTTCCACTGTTGAATCTATTTTTTAGGTGGAAAAAGGATCAAAATTTTTTTGTTTTTTTGAAAAGGCCTTAAGAAATAGCAGTACATCATCCTGGAACTGTTTATGCAGGAATTTTTATTCTTTGAAATCTTCCAGTGTTAAAGCAACAAGAAAACATTTAGAATGTCCTTTGGTGGAATCTTATTACACTTGTTATATATGTAAACTGATATTCTTTGATGCCAGCACGTTGCCCATACAGAGAAATCTCTGCACAATTAAATGAAAGGAAAAAGAAAAGGACTAAATAAAAAGTAATATTTTTCTCTTATCTGATTAGAATTAAATACATTAACAAATTGTCTGGTAACACAAATAGGCAATAATACAAAAAATCTACATTGTACATTATTTCAAGAAAAATAACTTCATTTGAATACAAAAGGATAAATACACTTTTTGTCCTATAGCCACTCTTGTACAGTAGGTGAACACAGCATCTTACTGATGCAGTGCTGCTAAGGTATACAAGGATATGACTGGCTTGAATTTTATTGAGGGGGCTGTTACACATGTGCATCACTAACATCAGACAAAGAAATCTTTCAACCAACAAGGGTTACAGAGCAACGTTCACTAAAGCACAGGTTGGAAAGGATTCAGGGACTGAAGCAGGCCAATATGGCAGCTTTTACAGATTTCCTTATACCCACAATGCACTGACAGCAAAGAATGCCTTTATTTGGTCGGTCCACACACTGGGCAGAGGTACAGTCGTGCACCATATGGGAGTAGTAAATGTTTTTCAGCTCCGATTCCCATCCTGAGGGCTGTCAAAGGTGTCTCAATCCTGTGTAAGCTTGGCAGCTAGCATTGATTTGACAGAATAGGCAGCTGCCAACTTGTCTCAAGTCAGAGGTGAACAGTCTTGACTCAGAGCCCTGTCCGTAACTGATTAATATGGCTTAGTTCAGTTAGGCCTTCTTAGTTTGTATGTGGTTGTTTTTTCCTTTCTTTTTTCCTTTTTAAATGTCAGTAGCAAACGCTTGGGTTTTGTTTTGTTTTCATGTGGCACATTCATTTGAAGTAGTCTGAATGCGATGCCATCAACCATACGGAGTCTAGCATATGCAAAGCCCAGTTGCGCCTAGTAGAGCAGTCAGCAGTAATAGAGGCCTGTGTGATGTTGCCCCCTGGCCGGAGTTTTGGCTGCAGCCTCCTGGATCCCTTTCACACTTCAACTTCTCGCATAAAATGCCAGTGTAAGCTGGGGGGCACTGGCATCGCACATTGTTGATGCATGTTCCTCCGTTCTGGCAATGCAGTAGTTCATTGTCACATACATTTGCTGCAAAGATAGCAGGGGAGGGAGGGAAAGAAAAGCAGAATAAATATAAGCCCATCTACAGGAGAAACTCTGCACTAAAACCATGAAATCACTACCTCTCTCCTCTTCCCGAGACACGTAAACAGGGGATGTGGGTTGTTTTAACATTTCCAGTATCAATTTTATTTGACAATCTCTCATCTCACCCCCCCCCGCTCCTTTTTTTTTGATTTAAGCTGTAGTCTTGGAGAACCATATAATTGACTTCAGACCCCTGACTATGATAGTATTAATGAATTAATATGAATTATGATTAATAATGAAAAATATGAATATTAATACCTGCCTTGTGCCAGTATCTGCTTTTTACAGTTATTACTGTACTGAAACTGTAGGTCGATGTGTTATTATTTGAAAGGGGCAACGTATCTAGAGGTTTTGGAAAACATGAATGGTGGTTAAAACTGCAATCTAATTTGGCTGAACTGAAAAGATCTGTATGAGAAGGGTGGGTTTTATAATTGAGATCTGCATGTATTAATGATCTGAAAAAATGCAAAAAAGAAGGCAAGCACAGGCAGGAAGTTCAGCATGCTATTTGATGGGGATTGTATGGTATATGCATATGGAAATAAAAGATAATGTCGTTATTTCCATTACAGATCAAATATTGCTTCTTAATTAGATTTGTTACTTTGCTAACTGTCATCTTAAAACTATCTTAGATATTTTAGCCTGATATAACAACCTCAGAAGTCAGATTTGACAAGAGTTAAGAGAAAACAATACAGGCAAAAGTTTTATTGTATTTGAAAAATTGGCAGTTTTACTTTACTTAATATCAGTTGAAATATTTCATTGGGTAAATATGTAGAGATGACAAACATACTACTTAAATGTGTCAATTTGTGTTTTATTCCAGATGATATCACTAGTAGAATGTGTGTTAGACTGCAGCTCTGTCTTCCATAGGAGAGACAATCTTAGAAAAACTCACACCTACTATCTAGACAGAACGTAACAGTAAAGATTTTTCATGCGAGAATTAGGGAAAGTTTATTTGGTTTAGAAGTAGACTCAACATTATATGCTGTTTATGCGTACCTTAGCCTAAAAATACCCTAAATAATTCAGAATAGGGACAATATTGTTAATTTTGCTTTAAACATCACTATTTATTGCTAGAAAGAACTACAGATTTTTAAATGTTAATTTAGTCATTTTTAAAAGCAACCCAAATATTCTGAGAACAAAATTTGAAGCAGTGTAAGTTCTGAAGTGATGTGTTTCTACATGAATCTGTAGAATTTCGTGCACCAGCAACCTTATTGATAATCTTACCAGTCCTGGCTTGCTTTAGAAAAGTAATTTTCTCACTGTAGAAGGACTCTAACAACTGCTTTCTAATGTTCTGCATCCAAGTGGGCCACATAATAATGCAGTGTGTTAGAAACTAATAGGTGCAGTTGGGAGAAAACAGTTAAATGATCTTTTTCAGCGATTCCTTTAGCAATCAAAGGTTTTTACTACGAACTATGGATTGTCCATTTGTTGTTGTCCATTTCTGAATTGTAATTTGAATATTAAGGTACAACAAACCACACATTATTGATGACAGCCATATGTCTGAATTCTGATGTTTTATAAATTACAAAAAATAGTGTTTATTTTATGTACAAGGAATGGTAAATCACCGCCAAAGAATGTGATGAGATAAACAACCGAGAAAAAAATAATGTTAACAGACTGAAAAAAATTAACTCTATTTTAAAAGTTGATATTTGAGTTAGATCTCTTATAACTGAGGCTATGTATCTTTGAAGCTGACTTTACTCATATTGTATATATTTAGCCATATCAATGCGCAAAATCAAAATACTTTATCTGATGATACAGCTACTGATTCTGCTTGTCCTAGGGTACTTATTGCTGGGATGCTTCCTGCAGTTCAGGCAATGAAATGCAAAATATCTGTCCCATCAATACTGACCATTGTTTGCCTTGAATAATGGAGTGGAATTCAATGGCTAATTAAATACCATTTCTTAAACAGCAGATGGGATATTTCACTCCATGTTTGGCCTGGAATACATTATCCGAATTTTTGAAGTATTCAGTAAACCAAATTTATTTTCCAATAGCCTTCCTATTTTTAAAATTAATTTGACATCTAAAGCCTGTTATTTTCAGAGACCCTCAGCCCAGATTCTGATCTGTAGTTACAGATTGCTGGAGACGGGTGGCTGAGGTAGGGTTTTGCTACGTGCTAGTACTTCTGCCTGACACACTGATGAAGGTTGCTATCAAATACCTCCAATCATTTCTGTCTAAAAAATTCTGGATACAGTGTTATAGGTGCTGATTTTTAAATCAGTCAATTTATTTCTCATTAGAAAGTTTTGTAAATGTATTTAAAGAAGGGAATGATCAAAAGATTCTCCTTCATTATTCTTGAATGATTTTAAAAGTTTGCTAAAGGAAGGCATTAAAGCAAAAGCATGTAGATCTTAATGTTCTCAGCATACTACTACATAACTGAAAATTCTTGAAATGTTAATCTTGTATTTTCTCAGCCTCCTTTTCCTTAGTTTCATCCTTGCACACACACATGTACACACATATATGTATCATGTAGACAGCAATTGTGGTGATTTGGAAGTTAAATGAAATAATCTGAAAATGTTCTGAAATCCCATTATTTTTTTTTGCCAATCTCATTTTACTTTTATTCTGAGCAACTCTAAAAGCATTTCCACCTTCCTGAGAGCACGGTTAAGACTACTTTTAAAACTAGTATTAAATAACTATTTTTACTGAGTTTAGGAATTGGATTAGCTATAACTATTAAGTGTAGCACATCAGCAGCATAAAGAAAAGTACTTTAACTGGAGCACTTTGACTGGAATTTAAAACAAAATTTATGCCTTAAACAAAAGCAGTCGACATGGTGCCAAGATCGAAACAAGGCAAGTATATTAAATGTTGTTATGAAAATTAACAATGTTTCTAATGTTCACACAGTATTTTTTTAAGATATGTGTTATAACATATTGTATTTCATAATTGGCTCTAGGCTTTACTCAGTGAAGGCCTGGGAGCTGTTGAGCAGGGGATGAAGGGCAAGGACCTTGCGGACCCCTTGCTCTGCATCGAAGCCCAAAGAGAGTTGCTTGTGCAGGTGGGGCTGGTGGACCTCCAGCCTGTGTTGGCCCTTGACCTTTTCATTTCCCCAAGCAGCAGGAGCACAAAACAGGGCTTTCTTGCCCATTGTACCCCTCTTACCTCCTCCTGCCTGACATGCCTTTACCCCTTCTTACACTCCAAGCAATGAACTATTGCCTCCACTGCTGAGAGGTGTTGAACAAGCTCTGCCTTATCTTCCTCGTTAAAAGTAACAGTAATGAAAAATTAGTTTGAATTAATCTGAAAGACATCAGGTATCAAGGTCTGATCAAAGAATGAAACAGAGAAGTGATGCAAGTGAAAGAACTAATTCTGAAGTAACCACGCATGACTATTAAGACTTGTGTGGCTGAACTAGCTGCGGATTTGCAGGTAGATCTTTATTATTAGAAGACAGAAAATAAAACTGATCATTAAGAAGCAAAACAAGGATATCTGATTTGCCTTGGAGAGCTTTGCAGGTCATTTGGGGGGATATTTCTGAGCACAGTCTCCAGATCTGTGCTACTGTGGGAAATGAAATATTTAAAGTAAATTAAAGGAAAAATTTTAATGTTATTTTCATCATTCATCAATTTACAATCTAAGCTATGGTTTGATTATGGGATCCTTAAAACATTATACAAAGGAGACAGAAAAAAGCCACGTGTCAAAATGGATAGGTATTTGAAGCTTTTCTGTCCTTGGGGCAACTCCTGCTCCTCACCCTCAGACCAACAAACCTATGCAATTATTAAGAGATATTATTTTTAATTAAAATGTAAACATCTTTTCCAAAGTAATCATTAATAAAATACTGAAGCCTCTTTTTTAGGATAATATCACAATGAGTGATGATGAAAGATGCCTTGCCACAAGTCATAAAATATTTTTGATTTGAAATTCTGATGTTATTACCTTTGAAAATGGAATAAAAAAGGAAAACAAGAGGGAAATATCCAGTCTTTCAACCAGGTAGAGCAGTTCAAGGGATAAGTGATGTGCTAGTGTTTCACAGAAATTATATTGGATGTTAGACGAAATGTATTGAGAGCAACATACTTGTCTGATAAATGTCTACTTTCCTCTTAAATGCTCAAATCTGAATAATACATGAAAATTTCTGAGGCTGATCAAAACTCAACTTTAATATCTTTGCAGCTTCTTGAAAGAAAAGAGATAGCTAGCTGTGGTTGGTTTTATTCTAAAGCAGCAATATAGACACAGTAACACAAATGGAAGTCTTGTTCTCTTTGATCTGGTGGGCCACCTCAGGCACAGCTTTGTGCTGCTGGCTTATGTTCTTTCCAGTTACTGTGGGCAGCTTCAGAGCACATGCCCTGGGCTTTTGGTCTACCTGCTGCTCAGTCAGAAAAACAATACTCTATTGGACTTAAAAAAAATTTCTTTTACCCTCTTATCTTTCACAAAAGCCATCCAAGAGGGGCAAAAATAAATTCTGTACCTTCCTTTGTGCTGCCTTAATTTTTGTACAGCTTGCCTATAGCAGCTTCTTATTCAGGTGGGTCAGCCACATAAAGATGAGACTTGCTCTTGACTTAAAGAAAGAGAAATGAATGTATTCAAAAGGACATCTTTTTTGATCTGGGATAGGTGGCGTTCTCCTTCTGCATCAAAAACTGGATTTATTATAAAATTTTCATTGTCTGTGGGAACAGCATAATGACCATTAATGATAAAGTCACAGAAAGAAAACTTTTCATTAGATGTCCTTGCTTCCTTTCTTGAATTCTGAAGTCTTTCATTTCAAGGAATGTTTTGTATGATCTCTCTCCCATTACTGTTTTTCTTCAGTGCACTCTTTTTGCAGTATCATTTGTTACAGCCTTCTCTCTCCC